GATTGACAATTGTACCTAGTTTGGTATATCGATTTATGATTTCATTGAACGCTCTTGTCATGACTTCTAAAATAAAATTATCACTTAAATTGTTTAAGATTGCTATAATTCTTTTATTTTTCGCTTGATTTCTTTACCAATTTAATTTTTTTCAAAATGCTACTTCTGCAAGTATATATTTTTTTATTTAATCTTAATGCAACAGGTTTGGAATGGAGACGTACTATAAAACAAGATTCGTCCTGTTCGTCCTCTTTTTAACGAAGGACGTGATAACCTGAAATTAATTACATGCAGTTCAATTTACTTCTTCTATTGACTAAAGCGAGGTTACTTTGTTTATGTACAGAATGTTCAGAGCCACTTTAGACTAATTTACGAGGGAACCCCACCCCCACACAGTGCACGGTATCCGCCCATGAACCCGGCAGTTTGCTTAAATGCACGTCCATAATGAAATTAGTTTATCTTGTTTACTTTTTGTGATATTTTGCTGAGAGAACTTTTGGAAGGGGGATTATTCGTATGCGTCGACCCTTCAATTTGTAACCGTATTTTCTTTAACAATTACATATATTTTATATATTTTATCAATTGAAGTTTACATTTTGCTCTATATTTTCAGATATCACTATCTTCTTTTTTTTTTTACATCATTTGATATCATTCTGATAAAGTCCTAGTGTGAACAGGTTCATGAACTAGTTACTCTGAACCCGAAACTCGATCTATTTTAAATAGTAATGCGTAGTTAATGTGATATTATATATGGGTAAACTTTGTACATGACATGGTGGATGGTGATCGTGTGTCAGTTTTTTAATGTTGGCCTGCTTTACTATCTGGATGTGCACTTTATACCCCCTTTTTGTTCCCCCTTTTTTCCTGAACTTCATATTTATTCAACCAAAAACTTCAATCTACATGTATTAGGGGTAACTGCTTTTTTAGGGCTATAATTTTCTAAGCACTAATCACTGCAGAAGTGAGAATAAATCCATGCATGTTTGCAACATAAAATGTTGGACTTGGCCTAAGTTGCAGATGCATTCTCAACCAATATATACGGAAGTACCTTGGTATTTATCATACCCCCTGCTTAAAAAGCGGTGGAATATAGTGACGGGGGTGTCCATCTGTCTATTATTCTTTGCGGTACCCATCTCTTTTCCTCACTCCTTCTATACCATTGAATGAAATTTAATGAGATTTCCCAGAATCTTTACTGCATAGTGCCATCGTGGACCTCCTATATCGTGTTTTGATCGGACAGATATTTGGGCTTTGCCATTATACTAAGGGGTATCATTTTGTGAGCTCAGTGCTCATAATTATTACCTGTAGTTTCAGTAGTAGCTATTATACCCCCCTCTTGAAAAGTGGGTATGTATAGTGATAGGGGTGTCCGTCCGTTCTTCTAGCTGTATGTCCGTGCATCCGTTACGCTTTGGGGTACCCATCTCTTATCCGCAACTCCCCTTAAACCAATGGGACTTTATTTTAAGTTTCCCATAGCAAGAAATGGACACTGACATTCTTTCTAAAACATCAGGTGTATCCATTTCTTATCCGCAACTTCTGCTATACCGCTGAATAAAATTTAATAAGACTTTCACAGTTTCTTCATTACATAGTTCCATTGTGCACCTTCTACTTTAAATTTTGATCGGACAGATATTTCGGCTTCCCATAGCAACAAATGGACGTTGCCATCATACCATATGGGAGCAGGGCATCATTTTATGAGCTCAGTGCTTACAGTGTCTCTAGTTTCAATAGTGTTTGCAACAGAGCCCCTTTGACGTGTCTAGGATTATCAAAAAATGTTTGCTTGAAATAAAAAAAAAGGTATGAAGGAGGAGTGCACTAATTTCATGTAAAATTTTAAAACAATCCCATTTTTACAGTTAGAATAAAATATATTTCAATGAAGTATTTTTGAAAAAAAAAAAAGAAGGAAACATGGACCCTTTGTATCACATGCATATCTCAAGTCACCGAAGCATATTTGACATTACAACATTCATTTTGATATCACAACATTCATTCTAACCATCTTTATATATATATATATATAAAATTTTCTACTATATATTTCTTCTTGAGTCATTTTGATTTGAATCTCCCAACTCATCCGACAAAAGCACTTGACTGCACTAAATCCCGTTTCCTGTCACCCCCCAGTGTAGAAATGAGAGAATCAAATTAAACATATTCAAGACTGACATAGGTGTTGTTATTAACATAATTATCTGCCATAAACAAAATTTGCATATTACAGGAAAACACTTCGCAGTGCTTCTTTAACACTCAAAAGATTGACAGACTACACTACTGTTTCTCTGGCGTGCTATCTACTGAGAACGTTTTTGAGCAATGGGTGTTTATTGAAGAATAGATAAAACCTTTACCTCGCAAGGTCAATGCATTCTTTCCGTAATGGATGGGAAAACAATTAATCGCTTAGTAAATCCCTAACAACTCGGCAGCTTCCCAGCTCGATGGAATGGAACTTCTCAGAAAATAAATAGTTTAACACTTAATACAACATCAAATAAAAGAAACAGTTTAGTTCTACCGACCTTCTCACCCGTTAAACTAAACTGACCCTGGAGCATGCCAAGAAAAGGTACGCATTCTAGTTTTAGAGCGAACTCAATAAAAGCGGAATTAGCGTTAATCTGTGATTTTTCCCCAGGGAGATGTGTGCGAGGCAATTAATGTCAGCAGTTTTGAGGGAAGGATCTTAAGTTTTACTGGTTTGAAATTAAAGCTAGAATACTTATTATTTAGAAGCCTTTGCACCTTTTTTCCTGTTGTTTTTTTTAAAGGGGGGGGGGCGATTTTCCATGCAAATCATATGCGGTTAAAAAAGTAAAAAAAGATGAAAAAGAAAGTGAAATAAATTGTAGTGAACTAATTAACTGTTCAGTAAAAATTAGACGCCTTTCAAATTTTTCAGTGTTTATATATCAAAATATTTTTTTCCTAGTATAAATTAACATCGGGCACGATGAACTTGGTTGTTGTGGAAGTCTCGCGCCTTATTAAGGTATCATACCACTAATTGACCAATGAAAATGAACTCAATTGTAGTTCCATACATATAAAATTATTATTTTTTCCTTTTGAATTTTTTTTTCTAATTTCCTTCCAGTCTATTTTTACAATTTTGGTACCTGTGTCTAGTGCATTTTACATATTTTGTAAATAAATAAAGGTTTTTAACAGGAACTATTTTTTTCAGGGCATAGGAGGCTACTTCCTGGGGTAGAAGTTTATTTTTCTTTGACTCAGAAAACGGAAAACTTAGGATCCACCCCCTCAAATCTGCTGCCGTTAATTGTCACGCCAGCGTTAGGGGAATATGGGTGATTTGCATCAATTACACTTTTATTGACTCCATCGCTGTGGAAAAATGGACGGGATTTCTTGGCATGGCTTCCCTTTGAAAAGACATCTTTTTTTAAATTCAGTCCTAAATATTTTTGCATCCACATCGAAATACATGTACATGTTACACATGCAGCAAAAGGTATTACAAATACATGTACAAGCATCCATGAGTGCCTCATTCAGCACCCATACACAATTTAAAGCAGTTTGATCTGTAATAATAAAATAGTGATCGATAACAAAATGCAATAGATCCGAATTATAGATCTAAAGCAGAAATTCTTTTTTTTTAAATCTACTTGTAATTGTCTCCATATTTGCGTACTTGTGGTCTATAAACATTTAGTTTTACAATGGTACGCTTATTTTGTTTCCAAGGAATTTCACATTTCATACTTGCTGATTTCTGACAATAGAAATAATTTATATGAAAATTTAGAATTTTCATGATCGTGGGATACTTTCTTGTAATATATACATGTAGCTCAATATTTTTATGTTTTTAATGATCAATATTTTATGTGCATCGCTCGAATACCTGCCAAGAGTAAATAAACATAAAAGTCATTTTTTATAAATTTATCGATTGTAGATTTTTAAACACCAACTGCAGTAAAACAAAAAAGTTGACGTTTCAGTTTTATGACTGAAATCAGAGAGGTGATAGTTGGGATGATCTGGGGCGATATGTACCTGACCAGGCTAATCAAATATACGTTATCGACATCCTAGGAGCGGCACCAGGATATGTCGAGAATAAACATGATTGAAGAGGACCTGTACCGCATAACACCCCCAAATGCTCGTCTCGTTCCTTAATGTAAAGAGATGTAAGTTATAAACGCAAATCAAAATAAGACAGAAGATTCTCAAGATAACGAAAAGTGCTTCTCACATCCTTGTCGCATTCTTAACCTGTGAAGATATCCAACAAATTATAGTGACGATAATTCTTGTATTGAATGCCTTTTGCAAGAACAAATTCAAGGTTCTTCATAAGGAAAAGTCGCAAAGTCATCTGTTTAATACAGACAAGTTTTAATTTTTTTTGGAAATCAATATTTATTGATACTGTTTTGGGATCCTATCTTTGCCTCTTATTTTGTATAATTGTACACAAATCCATGTACATACATATAAAAAAAAAAACACCATGGTATATAGGTAGAAAATACCAAAAAGTGTTACTGTTGTCTAAAAATCTCGGATATTTACTCAATTTTACTCCCACGTTCTTTTAACTTGACAACCAGTCTGACTGTAGGTATCCACAAACAGATTTTACGCCTGGTCAGGTAACTTTAAAACTTGAATCCAAAATACCGTAAATATACATATTTCCATATTCTTTATGTCTGGACGATCCTTAATTGTTACGTAACATTTCAAAATCAGAACTTAATAAATATTTGTCCAAACAAGTCTATGTCAGCGTACAATGGAAGCAGTCGGGCATGCAGACCTTTAATTTTCATGTTGATAAGCAGGTCACAATATTTAGTCTCTACCATGGAACCCATGAAATATGGTGAACTTGCGATCTTTTGGGGAAATGAAATAAAAACTAAAATCTTAACCAACTATAAAACAGAAGAATACAGGCATAGTGTAAGTAATATTTTACTGAAAAAAGAATTTTGCAATAATACGCCATGAACACATGTATATTTTGCAAATTGTCATTTTTGCAAAACTGAAGGAAAAATAAATAAAAATATCATGCAGAAAAAAGTCACATCGATTTAAGGCACAGTTAATTAATGGCTCCCCTACAAGTTTATAGTTCTTCACATTTCATTGCACTTTGGGCTATTGTTTGTGTTAACACCGCTTCATTTCGCAACCCTTTAAAAAGGCTACATCATTCGATGCGAACAGTCATACAAAACACTCACATACATACACACATGAACAGCACTGGTTTACCCTAAACTTCACATAGTTTCAGTAGCCAGCTATCAAATAGCGAAAGAGGAAATCGATTTGTTGGATACCTCCCCAATGAATTCCGACTCGTATTGTTCCGTGAGTACTTTAGCTGTATCTGTCAGCTGGTTCATGACGTTAAAAAGTCCCCGTAAATGATGACGGAACAATTCTGCAGTCTTCTTAGAAGAATCATTTGCTGTATCGTCCTCAGAATCAGATGACGTCACAGTTTGTTCGTCTTCTCCGGATTTTTCTCCGATGATTTCCTTTTTTATAGTATTCAACATCTTATAGAAACTATGCAAGTCTGTACCTGGTTTCATGATTGGCATGAGCGACATATTGTTATTTTCCTCTACGATTTCCGTATTTTTCTCGGAAGTTCTAATTTCCATGTCTTTCAGTCGGCTTGGAATCATAACAGTTTCGTCCATAACGTTCACAGCTTGAACAAATTTATTCAGAACTGTTAGAAGAGATTGATTTTGTCTCTGTTCCCCAGAGCTGCTCGACATTTGCCTCTCCGACATCATTCTGCTGATATGAGAAGAAGGATCACAACCAGTTTTGTTTGAAATATTTCTGTTGGGTGTGAACACTGAACTGTTATCGATGCACTTCCTTAAAATTGAACACTGCAAAATAACCCTCTGTTCCTCTCAATTCAAGCACAACAGCATATACAGGAGTCAAAATCGTGTCGTTATAGATTGTTATAAATGTAATGCATGGGTTACATCCTGCATTATTCGCACGTATTGAACAAGCCCTTGCCGGCTATATTATTTTATGTATTAGTAACCAAGGTCGGGTCACGAAGCTCTACACCGATTGGTCTATTTAATCATAAGTTGCTCGAGTGATATTTATATCTATCAGGCGTAAACATCACCACGTGTTAAACAATCCCATGCATTTGACACGCCATTTAATTTGTTATTAAGGTGTTTGTTTTATTTACGAGAATTTTTACCTTTTATAAAGTAAAAAATCAAGACGACATTGTTAAAGTTCATATAAAAGAAACTTTATATTATATCATAACATGAAAATACTAATAAATTAATACCCTTACCCGATTATATCTTTTCTAGATTTTATTTTAAAGTTTGTTAACTAATAAATGTATACAAAATTGCATAAATACGCTATTCAAATTATAAGATTGGATTTGCAAAGATTTGCAAATCCACAAAAAAACTTAAACTCATCTGCTAGTATGATACATATTTTGAAAGTATCGAGGGCATTACCCCCGCTCTCTCAGCAATTTAGTTTAAACCATATTTTATTTGAAAATGGCAAGCAGAAAATACAGGCAAGTAGTACAGAAAATCAAAAAGGATTCGGAAACAAGTTTTAAAAACTTATACTAATCCGTTTCCTTATTAATTATGCAGCAATTTAGGAACATATAGGGGAAATTAATTCATTTGGTTAATTTCCTTCATTATATAGCAACTTATTTTTATTTAGAACAACTGTATTTTTTTTTTACTTATTTCCTTTATTCCATCTCCTCGATTACTTACCTCCGTGAACCCCTATCCCGAGCCCCAATAGTTTCCTTCCCTTGACTCCGGATCCCCTCCCATACCCCAGTAACTCCTCCAGGATGTACATATTAACTTAAATGTAATTGTTGGCAAAATGATAAGTACGTAGTTCATTCGGTGAAACCGACCAAAACTCTTGTCATATCTATAATGAATATATAGGAACACGGGCTCATGATGAGGAATGGGGACTACTAGAGGTATTTACTATGGTCTCTGGTAAGCTTCAAATCCATTAGATTGCACCACGATTCTGACTTATCAATTCCAAGACCTAAAGCATTGTTGCTCATGAAGACTTAACAATTTCAAATATATGCAATGACTGTGCTGGTATATTTTGTTTTGTTTTTGTTATTGTTTTCTTTTTTAAATGCAATAAGTTTGCAAACGATTTATATTTCTTTGTAACCATTTTGTAGCGTCACGGTGACCAAACCTGGTCTAAGATAAAATATATATACAGCATCGGCTTCCTTAATAAATCTAACCCGTTTGTTTATTTTTTTCAATTTTCCCTAAAAAATCATTTGAAATCCATTCAGAACGCCGTCATTTTTAAAAAAGAGAATGTGTTATCAAGTTTTGTTGAATCAGTGTTTCTTGAGAAGTTAAAACGGTTTACCGCGACAGCAAAAATAAAACGACCTTGAGACAAATATAAAAGTACTTATTATTTTTTAACCTAAATGGCCCTGCTATCAAGGACTCGGAGATTTTGTAACAAGTGACCTTAACGTGAACTATTCTAGACCTCGGTCAATGAACTTGGTAACCAATAGGAATTCATCGACAGATCGACCAGCACTAGAAGAGAATGCTAGCGTAGATTTGCTTCCGAGGGTTGTGTGTGATAATTTTGTGATGCGCTTGAATTTTGCATTTTAATGAGTTTTGTATGCGTGGTAGGTGTATGCAGTGATAACTGATGTCTAGATGAGTATAAGGTTAGGATTTTATTGTTTAAAAACATTTTGTTTTGTTTTTTTTTGTGCTGACTTTGCTGGAACAATTATCAAGTGTGGTTTCATTAATATTAAAAATATATATATTTTTTTTTCACGCACTTCTTATGCAATAGATTTGTCATTTAATTTCCAGTTAACATTTATAAACAACAAAAATCTAAATAAAGAAGTAGGAATCCCCATCCCTCACCTGCATAGTATTGTTTTCTTAGGATCCTATCGAGTCTCGCCCACAAAAGCATATTATAGTATCAATGTTGATATTATGCAATTAGTTTGGGTATATATGGATACAGTTTAATATTGTACAGTTTGTAACTGTCTTTCGTATTCCATTGTGAATTAAAAACAATAAAAATAATTTTAAAAGTAAATAAAAGATCACTGACAGACACTGAAAAAACTAAATTCTCAATTTCTCAGCACTAGAAATCCAAGTTTAAATATATATATATGCATTTAGAAATACATTGTATACAAAACAGAGACATAAAGCTTGTAATAATGCTATCTTCTGTAAGTATTTACGTATATAGAGACAATGTCTACAGTGATCAAATTACAAAGATAAAAATGACAAAGAACAATGTTCTCCTGTTATAAATGTTACATCGTACAAAAGCAGAAATTCCTCGGAAGAACAAGTGGAATATTTTTGTACGTCGTACAAACCATGTATTTTTCAGGGGGAATCCATATTCTTTAAAAACACGATTTGAAAAGTCGGCCTCTTTTCTACGATTTCAAAAAAGAGAGATTTCTGAAGATATATAAATTAAATATGTACTATTTTAGCAGAGAGAGAGGGGGGATTTAAGTAATTGAACTTCTCTCTCTCCTTGTTAATTAACCATTTACACAAGAAAAGTGACTTTATGTTTTTTTTAATACAGCGCTTAATACCTCTCATACTGACGCATTAGAAAGTTTTACTTACTTTTAAAGTTACATTGAAACATTCTAGTTAGTATAGACTTCTTCAGTCATCGTTTTGTTATGTTACTTTTATTTTAAACTGTTGATTCTATCAGTTTCACAGTTTCAATTAACGGTCATGACTCATTTTAGTTCAGCAATAACACGGTTTTCTGTCAGTAAGACACTCCCGTCAAAGATTTAAATGTCACGCATCTTGATAAATAACGAACAACAACATAAACAAAAGGTCCGAGGGCCTTAACGGTCACCTGCGTATAATACAACTCTGTAAAGGATCCATTGAATGGCAATTTATTTAATATATAATTAAACAAAATAAACTGATAGGTGAAGATATACTGCCCCCCCCCCCCCAAAAAAAAAAAAAAAAAAAAAAAAAAAAAAAAAAAACAAGAGAAATAATACGACCAGGGATCATCAAAATAGTTAGACTGATAACTCAAAAATAGATTTAGCCTGCTTGTGCCAGTGTAGTATTATTTACGTTTTCCACATAGTGCTGGCTTCTAAAATGCCATTTATGATATCACATGACATTTGATGTATAAATAAAAATATTTTGTCTTATTTTTACTTATCTATTATTTACAAGTCTACCTGACCATTAAAAACTATAAAGTTCTCTTTGTATAGATAGTTTACGACTGACCTGAATTTAGCAAGAGTTATTTCCCGTTGGCCGCCATATTGGAGGTCCAACTAGCGAATTTTCCTCTTTGAGCAACCAATTTTAAACTTGTATGGCTGTAATATAAGAGCAAAAATCTTTTAGATACTAAAATTACGAATTAAAGGAAGCTTGAGTAAACATAAATTCGTAAGAAAAATTGTGCTATCTTTATCCAATTGCCCAGTATGACAAGTTTAAATTGGTTAAATAATGAAGGAATTCGGGCTCCAATATGGCGACCAACGGGAAATGACTTGCTAAATTCAGGCCAGTCGAAAACTATTATATATTAAAAATTCTTGTATATTCTGTTATTCAGTTGAATTATCAATTACATTATTTACAGTGATTAATTATGATAGTTGAATAATAAAGGAGAAAATCTCTCAGAGTAGAGAATAAATTCCCTAAATGATCAACAGGGCCCTGCCCAAAGTCAAGAATTTCACAGACCTGGTAAAACACACTTGCTCATTAAAACCTTTAACACTGTTTGCCTCCTAGATACTCAATGACATAGACAATTGTCAAAGAATTACTGAGTAATGCATTTTCGCTTTTCGAAAGAACCCCATCCTGACACCAGAGTCCCTAGAGAAGAGAATTTCAAAGAATTAATACATTTTTCACGATGATCAATAGAGCCCCACCATAACACCAGAACCCCCTGACACAGGCGCCATGAATTTCACAATTTTGGAAGAGACATCTTTGCTCATCCTAACTATGTACTTAGTTTGTCTGCTTAGTATCCATTAGCAGAGAAGAAGATTTTCAAAGAATTGTTGCATTTTCACTATATGATCGATAGAACCCTGTCCTAACACAAGAAGTCTTCACCTAGGGGTCATGAACTTCACAATTTTGAAAGAGGCGCCCCTGCTCATTATAACCATGCATTTTGTTTGTTAAACACGCAGGAGCACAGAAGATTTTCGAAAAATTGATGCATTTTCATTAATAAATGATGAATAGAGCTTCGCCCTGACACAACAACCCCTCACCTAGGGTCATGAATTTCACAATTTTCATTGGAAGAGGCACCCTTGCTAATCATGACCATGCACTTAGTTTGTCTGCTTAATTTCCAGGATCAGAGAAGAATATTTTCAAAGAAATTACGCATTTTCACTATATAATCAAAAGACTCCCTCCCTACATGTAATTTACAATCACCCCTGACCCAGGGACCATGAATTCTCAATTTTGGAAGAGGCGCTCTTGCTTGTCTTAACCACTCAGTTTGTCTGCTAAATATACAGGGGGAAAGAAGAAGATTTTTAAAGAATTGATGCATTTTCATTATATGATCAATAGAGAACCACTCTAATACCAGAACCCCTAACCCTGGGGCCATTAAGTTTACAAATTTGGTAGAGGCCTCATTGCTCTTTATCCTAAAAATCATACAGTTTGACTGCTTGATGACCAGGAGTGAATATTTTAAAGATAACATTAATTTTGAATGGTTTTGGCCCAACCCCTTAGGCTCCAAAAGGGGAGGGGGGTAAAGTACATGAAATTCATAATTTTTGTACCCCTTTGCCCATAGATGCTTAGTTTACCAAAATTGGTTAAAATAGATTCAGCGGTTCCAGAGAAGACGCT